TATTCATCTTGGGAACCTTATGATACAAATTACTAATGTGAAATTAGATGAATACAACTATGGGGGAGGGGTCATTTCAGCAAGATTGTCCATGGTTAGTCATGCACTGCAAGGATACATTGATGGGAAGGTCAAGGAACAGAAAGAGGAACCAAGTTATAGGACTTGGTGTAGAGAAAATGCAACCATAATGTCGTGGTTGCTTTCTTCTATGACACCCAAAATTGCAAGGACTGCTCAGAACTATACTACAATAGCCCATAAGATTTGGAACAAATTGTATAACATTTATTGTCAATTGAAGAACATTGCAAGGATTTACAGGCTGAACCAAGACATTTCAGCTTTGACTCAAGGGAACATGAGTGTTGCAACTACTTTGCTACACTAGAAGGCTTGTGGAAAAGCTTGACCATCATTTGATCCTTGAATGGGACAGCACAAAAGACAAAGAAAAACATGACAAACAGATTGAAGAAAGGAGAATATTGAAGTTCTTGACTGGTGTAGATCATTCAACATTAGAGCATAACTTTTAGGAAGAGATGAATTTCCAAACCTGCATCATGTTTTTTACCTGATTAGGAACGAGGAAATGAGGAGAAAAAAGATGGGAATTGGTGTTTCCTTTCAGCCTAGTGAGTAATCTGCCTTGGTTTCTAACATATCAAAGGGAGGAAAAGGGGTGGATAAGAAGAATTTGAAATTGTCCCATGTGGGGGTGAGAGGCACACTAATGATACTTGCTAGATTTTTCATCCACAGTTAAAACCAACAGATTTAAGGAAGGACAAAAAGCCACATAAAAGTCCTAACATTAGTTCAGACATGTTGCAAGCTCTAATGTTGTAAACAGTGTTCCTAAGAGTACTCACACAAATTCTTTGCTCTTGGGACAGACCACTCCTACAAGTAGCTTCCCAAAGTTAACAGCTCAAGAGGTAGACATCCTTGAAACATTCATCCATTACTTCATCCTCATTTGTAAAGACAAGTATCTCTTCTGCTCTCAGTGCTATTCACTCCTCGTCCAACTCTTGGGTCATCGACTTAGGAGCTTTTGAGAGTTGACAAACTCATCTTCTTTGTTTACATCATATTATCTAACTTTCGGACAAGACATGGTAAAGATTGTTTATGGTTTTATTTCCATTTTTTCTAGAAAGGGAGACATTGAGCTTGGAATAGGACTTCTACTAAAATCAACCTTGCAAAATTTCTGATGGTTCTATTCTTTTTTCCAAAGTAACCAAGACCTTAGGTTGTGTTGTGACATTTTTTTCCCACTCGTATTTTGCAAGATCAACTGACGAGGCAAATGATTGGGAGTGGTTGTGAACTTAGTGGCCGTACTACCTTAATGAAGCTTTAGGTTCAGTTCTTAAGGCAACTACTAGTGGTAGAAATGACAATAAGTAGTTCATCAGTCTATCTTTGGCATGCTAGATTGGGTCATTTGCCTTTTCTTTTATTGAAAATTTTGTTATTAGAGTTATTTAAAGTTGTTTCCATTGAATTTTTGTTTTGTTATGTGTCAATTGTCAAACATCGTAAGGAAAACTAATCAAGTTCTATTAGTAATGTCACTGCTCATTTTGACTTAATTCATTCCGATGCTTAGGGTCCTTCATTCATTGTCTCCATGGATGGTTATTGCTATTTTATTAGCTTCATTGATCACTTCTCATGGTGCGCCTGGATTTATCTCATGAAAGAACATGATAAGGCTTCTTGGATCACCATGATATTTTGCAAGGTAGTTGAAACTCAATTTGGAAAAAAAGTAAAACTGATTTGATAACACACCTGAATATTTCAAGAGTACTCTGAACTTGTTCCTAGAAGATGAAGGGACTTTGGATTAGTCTTCTTGCACTTACACTCCACAACAGAATGGAATTGTAGAGATGAAGAATAGACATCTTTTGGAGACAGCTCGTGCTCTCTTATTCCAGCACAAGGCTCCCATGAAGTATTGGTCTCATGCAGTACTTACTACATCATACTTGATAAATAGGATGTCATCCAAGGTGCTTGGGATGAAAACCCCTTCTCTATCCTTTGTTCTAACGTTCCTGAGTTTTTGTTGCCATTGAAAGTCTTTTGTGTCTGTTTTATTGATGTTAAGGACCAAGTTAGACCAAAAAATTATTTGTGGGGTCTTCTTAGGCTATTCTCCTATAGAAAGGGATACAAATGTTTTGATCCCCTTACTAGGAGGAAATTTTTCACCAAGGATGTCATCTTTTGCAAGTCACAGTCCTACTTTGACACCCCCCCCAAAATCCGTTTCACAAGGAGAGCATTGAGGGAGAAGAGAATTCATTTGGGGTTAACCCTTTTGTCTTTATTTCTCTTACACCTACTCCATCTTCTGATGGTCCTTGTCTTACCACACCTGTCACTGGTGATGCTTCTCTTGTTGTTGCTGCTCCGACTCCTTTTGTTGGTGCTCCTACTCTACAAGTTGACAACACACATGAGAGGGAGCTACATATTTGTTTAAGAGGAGGAGAGGTCTATTAGTTGATGACTGCAACCAGTTGGATGCCTTAGAATACAATAAAGGTACTATTCCTCCCTCTTCTGATCTGGATCTCCTTGATTGTCTTGCGAAAGCCTATTTGTCTATCTTCATCATAGTTTTCAAGCCTATTTGTAAAGTATTGTGCTGATGGCTTAGTAGAGGGATACAAAGACAGGCTTATAGCCAAGGGGTTCACACAGAAAGAGGGCATAGACTACATGGAGACCTTTGTCCCAATTGCCAAGTTGAATACTGTATCGGTGCTGCTTTCCTTGGCTGCAAAATTCACCTGGGAGTAATGTTAATTGGATGTCAAGAATACATTCCTGGATAGAGATTTGCAAGAAGTCTACATGGATCCTCCACCAGGGTATGGTATAAGTGGAAGAGTGTGTAAGCTGAAGAGAGCTCTATATGGGCTTAAACAATCCCTTATAGCCTGCTTGGTTTGAGAGATTATGTAGGGCAATGAAGACTGTAGGATACCAACAAAGCAATGCTGACCACACATTGTTCTACAAGAGAAATGGAGAAAAGCTAACAAGCTAACACTGTTGATTGTGTGTGTTGATGATATTGTAGCGATAGGAAATGATTTAAGGGAAATTCAAAAACAAAAACATTTCTCGGCCTCAGAGTTTGAGATAAAGGATCTAAGACCTCTAAGGTATTTCTTGGGAATAGAGCTAACTAGGTCTAGCAAGGGGACTTACATTTTCTAGAGGAAGTACACTTTGGATTTGTTAAAGGAGATGGGGAAATTGGGAAGTTGATTTGCTGACACTTCTATAGAGCAAAATCATGGGTTACAAGGTGATGAGGAATTATACCTAGACAAGGAAAGGTATCAATAGCTTGTGGATAAACTTCTCTCTCTATCACGTACTAGGTTTGATATTATTTATGCTGTACATGTGGTAAGCCAGTTTATGCATGCTCCTTAGGTGTCCCACATGAAAGTAGTTGAAACAATCTTGAGAAGTGATAGAAGTTATACATTTGGTATTGTACTATGGTTGCTAGATCAAGTGTTAAGGCAGAGTACTGAGATATGGCTCATGGTGTTGCTGAATTGCTTTGGCTTTGGATTCTTCTGAATGAGTTGGGGATTATGGTGAGTGGTCCTTTTAAGTTGTATTGTGACAACCAAGCAGAAATTAATATTGCTAAAATCCAATTCAACATGATAGGACCAAACATATTGAAATTAATAGACACTTTGTGAGAGAGGATTGTTATTGGGGATCCTTGCATTCCCTATATGCCTTCTTCAAGACAACTAGCTGATGTTTTTTTACCAAGGGGCTTACTAGAATGAGATTTGGTGAATTGTTGTGCAAGTTGGGCATATAGATATCTATGCTCAGCTTGAGGGGGAGCATTGTGGGAATTAATGATATGGTCTTGGGCCTCTTTTATATCTCTGTTATGTTATTTTTTTCTCTTATTGGGTTTAATGGGCCTAGGCTTAAGTTGTAACTCCTTATTGCTGTCTACTAGTGGGGGCAGTCTTGTCTTTTCATGTAATATGTAAACTCTACTTTAAATACTAGTTTTGGGCTGGTTAGAAGGTTGAGCCACCCCATTCTTCAAACTCTTCTCTTTCTTCTTTCTCAGTTCTTTCACTTTTCTTCTTCAATCTGATTGCAAACAATCTAAATATGAAGGCTATTTAATAACTTAAACAGGCTTCAAATATATATGCCAGCAAATTCTGATTTTTTTAATTATTTCCTTTTAGTTGATATTCAGCTACTTTTTTGTCTTTGGTTACCCTAACCTTACTGCCATCTGGTAGTCTGTTGTAAACCCTTTAAATCCCTCATTGTGCTATCCAATTTCTGCCCTAGATAGAGTCAGCTTGATATTAGCTTTATCTTTAAATTTCTAATCTGATATCAACCCAATTAATAATAGCCTTCTTGAATTTATTGAATTCCTGGCCAACCAGCCTAATTTTCAGCACTTAAAGTCCTTCTGTCTCATTACTCAATCATCAACAGCATTCATGTGGGAAATAGTGACAAGAAATATTTATTTAGTCTCCCTTAGGATAGCTTGTTTCAATTGCAATAGACCCTTATTCTACCAATTCATCCTAGAATTACCTTGTTTGTCATAAGCTTTGATGAATGTGAAAGTGACTTATCATTCTTTAAACAATGCTTTTCAACTTCTTGTCATTGACTAAAAAAAGGAAGAAATTAAAACAAAATGTAAGTTAGGGAACAATCATAATGGCTAATAGCCTAATACTAACACTTTAAAAAGTTTCTTATCTCCAAATCCATACTTTCGTTTCCTTTCCTAATAATACCATAGTTCTAGATCATGTGTGTGGTCTCAACAAGGTAGTTACTCATATAGATGGTAATAATTTTGTAGTACTTTTTTTTGTTATTGGTGACAGAATGCTATGTTATATTCATAAGTTTACCATATTAATTTTATAGCATATTTTCTTGATCAACAGTACCATGTCATGCGGAACGTCCTCTTTATGGCAATGACAGAGTTTGATAAGGTAAATTTATCACTTGTTTATATTGTGATATTGTGAAAGATGAACAATCATTTATGAAATACTTCCAATTGTTTAACTTACCAAAGAAGATACATAAAGTACAAGGTACAACAGGGACTATACTAATAAGATACATCAAGTTACATAATCTCCACAGAGAGAGAATAGATTCTTTCTAACTGCCACCCCTTCTATTTTATTTATATGTGGATGTACAATCAGCAAACTGCCCTTAATTAAACAATACAAAGAATGACTAATGATTCCCTGTCAATAATATAAGATTCTAACAAAGACCCTAAGCCATCAATAAATCTAATTTTGTATTTGATCTTTGTTTAGTTTCATCAATTGATACTATGTCAACCTCCTCCTTAATAGGTTTAGTCAACTGATCTATGACTAGTGCAAATAAAGGAGGGCTATGTTCTAAATGTTGAAGTTCTATTATAGCCAGAAACTCCGTCTCTCCTACAGGTGTTCTAGCATTGGTTGTTGCACCCTCATTATGTCCTTGATCAGTCAGATACCTATTTGGCACTCCTTTTCCAAGATATGCTATACACGTCCTTTTAAATCCTACTATAATACCATATTTAAAATTTAGTAGGACCCTAAAACTGGTTAACAGGGATAAAGAAAATAAGAGTTACTTTTTATCTCATCTAACTACCTTGAATATACCAGTATAATGAACTTTTTACAGTAAAAAATTTGTCCTTGATGAATATGATATGGTGTATAATATGCATACAGTAACACCACATAGAAACAATGAAAATAATTCTCTTTTCTCCACATTTCCTTCTTTTTCATTATCCTTGAAATATAGTTGTGAACCTATAGTGTTTGAAAAACATGTCTGAATCACTAAGTTGGCTCACCTTAATCAGTTTTTTAAGCAGATTTGACAAGTTATTGTCCTGCTTTTTGTAACATGATATGAATCAAATAAGTTGTTTTAAGATTTTTGAAATTCTTAAATAATAGTTTATTCAAAAACAATTGGCAAATGCAAAAAAACAAGTAACTAAAGTTAGTTTTCCCCTGTTGTGGTAGTTTGCTGTCTTTTGTTTTCTTGGGTAATTTTCTTTTTTCTTTGTTAGCAATCTGGTTTTAGTATCTTATTTCTATGTTTCTTTTGTTTGTTATCATGTATGTGATTGTAAGTGAAGTTCATGCAATTCTCTCTATGGTATAGGCTAAAACTTGGATCTTGGGATATAGGATGTATACATTTAGGGCCCATCATTTACCACCCATTCCATGTTTCAGGCATCAGAGACCACTATGAATGTTTACCACCTAGTAGATGATCCAACATTCTTTTCAATTTCTGCTGCCCTTTATATTACATTATGTAGTGACTGCATGAATTTCTTCATTTGGACTGACAAGAGTCTGCAAATCAAACTGTAACTAGTTCCATTTTAAACATTTGATAAACCAAAAACCTCAACTTTGTGCTGACCATGGCCACTGAAAATGTAGCTTTCAGAAGCACCGGATTGGAGGTTCATAAGAGGAAAATGGGATCAAATTGCCTTTCTGTTTGGTCATGATGATCACTGGGGTCCATTGTCAATGTCTGAAGAGGTAGGTCCTATATTTCAGTCAACTTCTTGTGTACAGAGATGGGATTTATGAAGTTGAAAAGGTTGTTAGGGTGTTACTTTATTTGCTTTCTTGTTTGCATTTGCATGGTTGAGTAGAAGATATGGTTGCATCTTGGTTTCTTTCTCAAGGAGGGTCTACAATGTTGTTAAACATCCAGGGACTATGATGTAATTCTGTGAGTGTAGGGCCATATGCAATTCTTGAATTGTTATGTCTTCGACTTATTTAAGCCAACATATTGGTTATTTTATACCCTTTTGGGAGGGATGAAGCACAGGCTTCTGAAAATATAAACCACACACACACACACACGAACTTTCCAATGGGTTACATTCTTTTAGATAAATAAGTATCTCATATTTTATCAACTAGTTGGATGAATGTTGGGTTACTGAATAAATATTGGTAATCTGAACATGGTGGAAGTTATATTTTCAATATATATGACAGCTAAAGTATGGTCTTGGGGTTATTATAATTTATTTGACTATTTGCAATAACTGCAATAAATTTTCATTTTTCTTGTGAATGTAATAGAAAAATTTTATATTATATAAATTCTATTCGTTAGAGCACTATTAAATTTTGACTTGTGCACCACAGCGTAGGTAAATTTGATCAAGTCCTGAGCACAAGCTTTAACAACATATAGCTGTGTCAAGCCAAGTTCATCTTCTGTTATTTCCTTTTGTTTCACGGTCTTCATTTTGAGTGTTCCGCTCATTTTTCAATTGCATTTGCAGATTACTAAGCAGGTCCCAGACGTAGCTTTAACAATAGAACGGGAAGGCCACACTCATGCTTTCTGTTGCAGTGAGGCTGGATCATTATGGGTTGCTTATCATGTAGTAAGCTTAATAAATCGTCAAATTCTAATTGCAAGCCAGTAAGGTTAGATTCCTGGCATATGACCAGAAGAGAGATTTCTTTCATTAGCATAAGATGCTATATCTAGTAATTGGTCATGTGACTCGTGCCTAATTCCTTTGGTGTCATGACGCATGCAAATACCATGGACACATTTCTGTGATGCTGTTGATGCGGAGATCTTTGGTGGACAGGACTCATAGAAGGCATATTTCAGTAGCTTACAATTAGTTTACTATTGCTCTAGGGCATGCATGCACCACTTCGTAATTAGGGGTGACCATTGAAAATCTTGAAATTGAAAAGAAAACACCTAATGACTAATGTCAAAGAAAAAAAAGGGGAGTTTGTATTTCTTATCTGGAACAGAAAAATGTGACTTTATTGTTCTGAAATCTTGACATACACCCATATGCAAAACATGACAGCCCAAGGTTTACCATATACCAGTCTTATGTGGCAAATTTACCATTTGTTTATATATCTTTCATTATTCTCCTGTTATCATGTATTACGTAGTTATGATAGTGGCCATGGAAATTCAAGTATATTGTTGCCATGTTTATCAGGTCAACCAAAACTGCTTTCATTTTCAATTTCTGGGTGTACCACCCTCTGTATTTTTTTATTTAGGAAAGATAATATGGTACACCTTAGCAATACTGTACTTGGTACTTCTTCCCCCATATGTAGCTCTAGATTACCTATTCTCATTAATCTAAACCACACAATTAGTGCATCACCTGCATCCGCTATAATCCAAAATTTGTACCATTTGATTGGTCATGAGTCATGACTGTTTCTGTTCAATCCGTGTGCACTCCTGTTTTTTCCTCTATTTTTTTCCTGGACAACAGTTCATGGACTAACGGCTCCTAAGAGTCTGAAAACTGATTTAAGGGGTCTGAATTGGAGGCTTCATTGACTGTTTGTCGAGCTGTCGGTGGAGGCTGGGCAAGAATACATTATGTATGAAACATGATGGTGAAAAGGCAATTAGCAGAAAGCCAGAAACATTTTGTTCTTGGGGGGAGTTTCTTTTCTTTCAAGTATCAAGAAACAAGAAAGAACAGAGTTGCTTAATTATGATTATTTGATTATTGGAACAGTAGAGTTTACATTGGATGGCATCAGTAATGGTGATAATAACTAAAATATTCTCCCAAATTAGAAAGTTTAAAAAGAAAAATCCAACAATGCCAGCAGACAGACAATATATATCACTGCCAGAAGATTGGTGGGGCCGTGGGGGCACTGGACTGTATTGTCCCGTGACTCACAATTTCTGGCCCATCTTATGTTGTGAACCAAAGCAATCACTTAATAAAGACACTAATATCTACTAAACAATTCGCCCTCTGTACTGGAAAACTGTGTGGTGGAATGTATGATCTCGGGCTTATGCTTAGTTTAATAATACAAGATTTTCCGGTGTTTAATATCTCCAGCTTATATGTACTTAATATAGAACTCGGGCTAATTTAGTTTAATTACTTGATGAGTCAACACTCAGCCTTTGATTCGATTTGCCTCATTTGAAAGACACAGGAATCTTCTAAATGGTTTATTAGCAAACCCCTAATGATGCTGAGGGTCTGAGACCAAGAAAAAACAAGTTTAAGCAACGCTTGGTTTGAGTTTGAGCTACATTGACTTTTTACAGTCTTACTGCATCAAATCTTTTCATTTTTTTTCTCAGGTTTTTTCTGTAATAAGTCTCTGGCGAGTTTAGATTTGAACTACACTGCCAAACATCACCTAACAAACGAAAACCCAGACAAATCTATCCCAAATTCATTCGTTGGTAACATCTAATTATTCATTTTGCCAATCCGAGTTGGGCAGCAAGTTGTTGCTTGTTTGTATCTTTCCTTCTCTTTGTTGTTGGAAAAGGGGAATGTTGATGTTGATTTTTTTGTCCTCAAACGATGGGTTCTGGCCTTCTGGGTATTTTTTCAAACAATACAAGTTTTGGTTTTTCTCAAAGCAATTGAGGATTGAGAGCTGGTAAAAAAAAAATTAAGGCTATGATTCCAAATTGTACTTAATATGACATTATTTTGATTCTCATCAGATATGTTGTCTTGTTAGAGTACTGTGGTTGTCCCTATCCGAGATGTTTGAAAAGTTGTCTTTGGATTTCAAATTTAACAGAAGGGTTTCTCGGACAAGTTGCCAAGTAAAGTGATTTTTGGACATCTAGAGAATCTTAAGGAAAGCCTAAGTTAGCTGCAGCCCAAGAGGGCTCCACATGCTTTGCCAAATCACTCTCTCCTAAATATTGTAAGTTTCTAGCAATACATGTTTCATAAGAAATGTGTTCTTTTCTGCTCATTTCCCCAAAAGCAAATTGAGATTTTGAACCTTCACAACTTGTTCTTCCAAATTCCAATACTGGAAACACAAACGACATTCATTCAATAATGATACATGGCCAATCCTAAGGGTCGTCCCTCTTGAGCCTGAGGAATGACTTTGGCTCATTGGCTGTTTGGGAAAAAAAGCCTGGGTTGTTTGTGAGCTTCCTGTATATGACACGTTACTCCATTCAGTTGCTTGCTTGTCTTTTTGGCCAAAAGATTATTGATTGGAAAATCAATTTTACTTCACACCCATGAGAAATTGATAACGTGTCATGCATGGGAAGCTTCCAAACAGCCGAAGTTTTCCTCCAATCTGATGATCATGAACCATTGCACCCACAAAAGTCCATCCATGTGGCCTGGCCCAAAAAAGTAGAGTAGGGATGGAAGACGGAAGGAGGGGGGGGGGGTGGTTAGATGAGCTTCTTTTTCAAATTCTTTCAAGTGGTTCCATCAGAAGGAACAGAAGAGGGAGATTGTTGGGTAAATAGAAGGACCTAGGTGTGGGATCTCTGTCAATCCCTCCCTCCAAGTGCCAGGGCTCCAGGGCCGTGGTGCTCATACATCACAGCAAGGATATGGATGAGGATTGACCAGCAACCCAGAAAACCCATTTCCCCAGACGTGCCGAAATAAACTTGCAAGTAAAAGAAGGAATAAAGGAAGGGAGAATAGTCAAAGATAATATGAATGGCTCAGGTGTGAAATCTGGGTCCCAGATGCCAAATCTAGCGGCGAGTTTTTTGCTGCTCAGATCCCAAGATCATTCTGATGTATGAAATCTCAAAAATTTTCCCTAACTTCTACGAAAATAGTTAAGATTAGATTACTCAATATAAAACTATAATAAACGCTTGTCAGGATGGCCCGTCCTATGTGACCCTCACATGCTCAATTTATGTAGTAGCCTCAGCCTCGGTCAATAGCCCCCATAAAATCTTCCTTACACTCAACGGCAGAAGGGCGAGAGAAGGACTCAAGTCCCTAACCAGCAGACTGATTCGCTTCTCGTCTCAACAACTCTCTCTGTCTCTCTGTTTCTCCCTGCCTGTCTCCCCTCCAGGCACTGGCTGGCGCTGTACGATGTCTTCTTCACACAGAAAAGGCCTCAGCCGGAACACAGTTGCAGTGGACGTAAGTTGTGGGTGTCGAAGGCCAAAGCTCTCCGATATATTCAGCCCCAGAACAAAGAGCAAGGCTTCAGCATACCACAAGTCCGATCTCTATGGCTCCTCCTCGAGCTCCTGGGATAGAGGTGGCTTCTCGGTCGACGAAGACGACACGACCACTACATTCTCTCCCAACATGGACACGTCTCCAACCCATTCTGAGGAAGAAGAATATGATCTGAAGAACTCAAAGATGGTTACTGGGTTCGGGAGAATTGGCGAGAGCGTGGCTGTGGTGAAGGATTCCAATGACCCATATCTTGATTTCCGGCGTTCCATGCTTCAAATGATCTTAGAGAACGAAATTTACGCCCGGGAGGATCTTCGGGACCTCCTCGACTGCTTCCTGCAGCTGAATTCTCCCTACCACCATGAGATCATCGTCAGAGCCTTCACAGAGATCTGGAACGGGTTCCTGGCTGTGAGAGCAGGTGCAAGCGCAATGAAGCCGGTGGCTCGACGGATGTCACGTGAGTTCTAGGTGTAACACGTGGGAAGTCACGTGAGATGATGGGTGCACAGGTAGAAATGAGAAATCCCATTAGATATGCTGAGATTTGGTCAGGTCAGAAAAGAGAAAAAAAACCAGGCAGACTGGTGGATTTTGGGAAGTAAGTGGGCATGGTGGGAAAGCAAAGACATTGGGATTTGAATAGAATAATGGTGATGATGATGCTAAGTAGTGAAAGGGTAGGGACATGGGTTTAATGAGTTTTAATGGAAGCAGTGATAGTTTTCTGTGACCTTCTGTACATTTTCCAAATTCCAACAATTAACATTTACTGCATTATTTTGTATTCCTACGCATCTTGACGATATATGAGATTTTAGCTACCATTTACTGTTCTTTTGTTTAATGCCTTTGCTGCATTTATCATGATGACCTTTGAGACTTTGGATCACAAAGATCTCTTTCTCTCTGCACTATATAGATTTGATGGGTTGTCATTTCTAGAGATTATAGCCTTTCTGGTCTGACAAAATTTAATGTGCATTTGATGAGTTTACTTTGATTTAGAAGACAAGTTAATTACTAAAGAAGTGTGACTTTGGGAGAAGTTTGTGAATCCCAGTAGTCATTTATGGGTTTGTGTTGATGGTGGGGAGTTAAATTAATGAGAGTTTTCATCTTGGGTGATGTGAGGTCAAGCTTTTAGTAAAGAGAGGAGTGAAAAGCTTTATCCATACAATTGAATCCTGTTGCATCATTGCAGTCTGTTCAGTGTCATATCTAGGTCATCAAATCATCAATCTTGGAGTGGGATTTGTTTGCAAATACAAGCGAATCCTCCTTGCCATGCATGATATAACTTTGGGGAAGTGAAGCAGAAATTAACCTCTTGCCATTATATCAAAAAGTTCCAACTTTGAATATAGGCTTGTTTGGCATCCTGACTAAACACCTGTTCATGGGTTTAAGTTGCGGGTCGGGTCCATTCAAAATTTGCTCAATCTCATGAACAATCTGATTCTTATTTTATCTGCCCTAGATTTTGCCTATTAGTGGGATTTATTGTTGACAAGAAAAAAATGTAACTTTTTTTATAAATAGTTTGTGGTCTATATTTGCATGTTTAAAAAACTAGAAGTGCATTCTAGATGCTGCTAATAGTTAAAAAGTAGACGTGTGAGTTCACATCTCGGCCCCACAGCATATTCTTGACCGTGTATTCGAAACATCTCTCGATCAGAATGATATTATCAGTCCTGATGATATCATCATCCAGAGATATGCTCTGGGGAGTTGTGGGGCAGCTACTTGTGGGGGCGGAGATGCGATCTGCGTCATAATTTGCCCTTGTACGTTGTATTGAAATAATAAGCCACATCATTATAATTATATAAATCAGGCAAAAGTTGTGTTTGTTTATTCTTCTTTATGCAAAAATGGCAATGTAACGGTATATTTATTTGACGTTTTCAGGAGGGAAAAACTTTGGCTAAGAGCCTAAGACACCCAACTATGTATAAACTAATGTACGATGCGGGAAGAGCCCTTGATAGCCCTGCTGTCTTTTATCATTATATATTTTTATTAAATAAATTTAAATAAAAAGGTTAATTATATTTCAATAATGAAGTGGTAAATAATAATAATAATAATAATAATAATAATAATAATAATGATGATTCTATACCAGAAAAATTTGTAACCAGTCAAGGTATCATAAAAGTGATGATCAATCAGGTGGTTATTTAACAAATTCATAGGAGATACATAAGATGTGTATTTATTCCTATTGGCATAAGATTGGATGGAATAATAAGTAAAGATGCCAATTAGCCTGTTGGTAAAGTCTCAAGCTGATTGTAGTGGAGATCTGCATTAAGTCTCATCTTCACTGAATTCACATCTGCACCCACAGAAAATGTCTCACAACATCATGTATTAGGAACATCTTTCACTGATAACATCGGGAGATGTTCCCATGCCAGTGCACGCTGAGATAGGCATGTGGGGCGCATATGTGATCTCATCTTCACCCGGTTTGGGGACGGATAACCCTGTTTATGTAATCAGCTATACACAACAAATAAAGAATTGGATGGTTATGTTTTTTTATTTTATTAGTTTTGTTATTCATCAGTTTTTTTTTTCCTTTTTTATTTTTTTTTCTTCCTTCGTTCAGGTGATGAGAATTGGGTCTTATGAATGATGGATCCAAATTGGTCAATCTCAAGAAAGCGATACCATATTTATCTCATGTCGCGTTCAGCTGAGAAGAATGGTAGTTAAGACAATCCATGTGGGACAAACTATAATTTTTAATTATAAAACCCAAATAATTTTAGTTGTTATATATGATGACTATATGATAAGAAAAAAATTGTAAGGTTTTAAAAATCAGAACCAACGCGAAACGGTTTTAGTTATTGATTTTTGGGTTAAATGGTCTGACCATTATTTGAACAGACAGCCTGTCCTGATAAAAAATTTTAAAAATAAAAAAATATATATAATTAAAATAAAAAATGGCAAAAACCATTATCCAGGTTGATGGGTTGTCAGTTCAATCACCCAGATCAATGGGTTGATGACCAAATCAACGGCTTTTGACCCAGGAATGGTTTTAAGATTAAATGGAACCGATTGTTTGACTGATTTTTGAGTCAACCGGTCAGACCATCCAATCTGGTCAACATAGGGATGCCCCGCCCCAACCCCAATTATATATATATCAAAACATATTTAAAATATTATTTATAATTAAAAAAATATTTATTTTTCAAAAAAATACTATTATCTAAAAACTTTCGAGGATTTGGGTCCCTGCGGGGAATTCATCCCCATCGGAGATCAGGGATGAACAATAAATTTTATCTCCGACAGAGATCAAAGACAGGGATGGGATTAATTTTAGAATCAGAATCAGAGACAGAGAATATGATCCCCGCCCCAAACCCGCACCGTTGTTATTCCTATTCAAAACCATGCGCTCTCTCTCTCTCTCCATCTTAATGCTCTATTCTAGGATCATAAAACAACTACTACACGCAGCGACAATCCCAACTTGCCCTCAGCTTCTCTGATCCTTGTTTCACAAGGAAGAATAATTTCACCTTGCTGTCACATTACTTCATGCTTTTAAAAGCCAAAGGTTTCTGACTTGTGTTTTACCAGACTACCAGCAACCTCATTGTCTCTCTATCAACCTTTTTGTTGTAATTCGATCAGCCACCAAATGAATCCTATCATGACTTCAAACGAATTCAAAGTTGCTTTTATTCTTTTTGGTAACTGAAGGAAAGACTTCAAAGTAGCTTTTGATTGACACAAAGGTCTCCCTTTTAGTCCCACACTTGTTTTCTTGGCTAGTGGGGAACATCTTTACTCTTTCGCTCTGTCTACGAGACCTCGACCTGTGGTCTTTGTTTGCTTAATGGAAATCTACGTTGGCAAATATATGTATCAGTACATGGAAAGGATTCATTAGTTAGCTGGTTAAATAGCTAGGTAGGGAGATTCCTTTTAGACAATTACCCTAGTTTTATCGTACAGATGTGTATATCTTGCATTCGATTTAGACCATCCATCCTGATCAGAAGAATATATTAATTTTAAGATTTAGGGTTTAGGATTTAACCATAGGGATCGATCAGATACATTCGTCTGATCATGGAGGGAGCAAGACAAATAAAGCTTTCTCAAATAGGGAACCTACTAGATTGGGCACATATTGTATTGTAATTAATGTCAGTAATTAAAGGTTTTAATTTCTTTGAGTTCACATTAGGCATGCCTCACAGCACATCCCAATCATATATTGAGAACATCTCCCAATAATAAATACGTTGAAATATTCCTAATGCATGATGAGATGTGTATGTGGTGCACTGATATGATCTCAACTTCTTTAATATGAAACATTTCTATTTCTATGTAAGAGTGGGCGCTTTTTTAAGACCCGAAGTTTACTACAGGAAGAGGGGTGATCGCCTTACATTTTATTAATTAATCACTATCAAAAGAGAGGAAGGTAATTACAGATTTACGTACAGATAAGAACGTAGCCCTTATTGCCTCAAAACCCAGATGTAAAGGGCATAACCTCACCAATTCTAAGTCCACCCAAAACAAAATTCAGAAGAGTACGTAAAAAACAAGCATACAGAAGGACCACTTACACAACACCAAGGAGAAACCTCCAGTAGCCTTCACACAACAAAATCATCAGCTCACGGGGATGCCTTGAGTTGAATTGCAAGTAAAGAAGCTCTTCTGATCAATATCTCAGAGTCGGTACATCGGTTTCCGTCTCTAAAAATATGAATAAATTTAATGCTCATATTCAACAGGATATATAGCTGATTTCTCAATAAGAATATTCATCAAACTCTTATTTTAACTTTCAATCTCAACCTCCAAAAACCCAAGAGAAAGACACAGCAACCTAATGCCGACACAAATGGCAAGAAATTCCTCCTAGATCAGGAAGTCATGGCCATAGTAATTACGATTATTTATTAAGATACCACCCCCACCACATTCACCCTGATTATTTCTACATGCTCCACCCAGCCACATTCAACTTGATCGTAAACTCCCTAATTACAAGAGTGGGCCATATTTTTCATTCATGGCAAGGTACGTACCCCAGGTTGAAATTTTTCCATAAATAAAGGTAAGGAGAGGAATTTTCCAAGATGATCCAAGATTATTCCACGTGGCAATTTATTTAAAAACCCAAAAGGGCCCCACATATTGGTCTTTGGTGCCATCTATTCATGATGTTCAGTATATGAAAGCTTGCTAAGTGTCCATGTATAATGCGCTCTTTTTTGTGGCAACTTTTATATTACAAAATTAAAATGATTTTAAACTTCTAAGATTTGGGTGGGGCAAGGTCATAAGGAGAGAATAATTAAAGCTGATTTGGATTGAAGGATTGATTGCCCACATAATTAGCTAGTCAGGACGGTCTCACACATGTTGGGCAGTTTGGAGCAACCAGATAGTCCTCACAACTAAAAGGAACAGAGTTGGTTGCATAGAGAAGTTCACGACTATGGATCTGCCACCCATGCTACCCACAAGACACTATAGCGTAAACATCTCTTCATGTAAAACTCACTACTTGCTCAATTAAGGAATTAATTATATATAATTCATGAGTTTGGATCTCCTACCACGGGTATTGAAAGGCTTTGGGGCCAGGTAAAAAGACCCATGCCTTAAAGCAAGCTGGTCAGAATTCCCAAGTAAATAAATGGAGACCAATGTTTTCGAACTGCCCTTGATTTGGCCTGGATAGTTGGACCGTTTGATCTGAGAATTATTCAAGTAATCAATTCTGTTTTATTCCAAATTTGGTCCTTGGCCAAAAATCATTGAATTGGTCAATAATTCATTGACCCGGGTGATTGAATTATCAATCAATTTAACATTTTTTGGTCATTTTTATTTTAATTTTTTATCAGAACAA